TTAATTTTTGTTTGACACACTATACAGAGAGTATAGCTTCTGGATAAAAGTTTTAAAGTGATTGACAGAGTTTACCTCATCAACTGCATCTGACACAGCAAGTTCAAGTCTATGGTTCATGCAGTGCCATACAAAAAGCTTTGGGAATCTCAAAGTCAGTCTGGTTGCTACTCCTGACTTCTTTCCTAGCATGACACTGGCTCCATCAGATACAAATGTTACCCAGTTTTCATGAAGCCACTCTTCTGTAAAGCCAGCATTAGTTAAACAGGTGAGTAACGCCTGTAATATGCCATCTGCTCTCTGATTTTCCAGTTCAACAAGTTCCAGGAATATGAACTCAGGGCTTTCTTCTTGAATTGATGCTTTAATAGAAACTGTCATGACAGCTTTGTGACTTAAAGAAGATGCCTCGTCAATTAGGACAGCTAACTTACTGGATGATGCTATAATGCTACTGATGATTTTGCTCTGCATCTCACTAGCAACATGTTGTATTATTTGTGTTGCACTGTAACGTGAATGAAGTATTGAGCCCATTTTTACACCATTCAGTTCCTGCAGCTCAATGAGGCTCTCATGGTCAGAAAAGGGTCGGTTCTTTTTGGCCAGATGGTAGGCTGTTCGAAACACAGCTTCAGTTTCCTTCATGTAGGACTCAGTCATAGTCTCCACTGTATTCTCAATGGCAGCTTCTTTCTGTTGCTCTGCCACCTTCACAGCCTGAGTGTGGGCCTTGGACAACGCATGTTTCCTCACCTTATTTCTCAAGATTGACAAACTTGTTGTTCTACTTCCCTGGCCAGACACTTGAATTTCAAAGTTCATCCATTCTCTTGAGAGCGATACACCTTGCTCCTTGTCGATCCCAATGGAGTTCACACTGCTACAGACCAGACATCCTGCGAAGCATAAACAAACAATGTAACTACTCCTGTATCCACAGCTGTACGTGTGCATGGTCCTTTACACACACACACACACACACACACACACACACAAAGTTATCTGTGCCCACTGTTTCAGAAGTTACCCAAACTAGCAATCTACCTAAACTTACCCAATTTTTTGTTTTTGGATCCCAACCAGGGGTTCTTGGATTTGAAGTCTTCTGTTTGTTTAGCACTCCACAGGTCTGGCCAGTCATTATTGATGTCTACAGACAACAACAAAACTAATTATGCATCTCCCTGTCTCTCTCTCTCTCACACACTTACACACACACACACACACACACACACACACACTACTGTGATCACAATAGTCATCAGCAAGACATGGGTCCCCCTCTTTACATTAACAATCTGCATAACCAAGTAGAAATATTTTCAGCAAGTGAAGCTGAAGCATACAGGAGATTAGTGAGTGAAATACTTGGGAGAGTTTATTTAACAAAAAAAACAACAAATTTAACACAAAATGTACAAAATGTTATATAACAGTAGCATTGTAAAAAACAAACATGGATACAGACAAAATAAATAGAAGGGCAATAAAATAAATAACATCACACAGAAATTCAAAATGAGGCTTAATCTGTCAAAATCACCTTTTGTTACAGTGTGAGGCTTCACTTTTCAATAAACTGGAGATGCAATTTACTGCCTGTGTGTTCTGACCTGGTGGTGGTAGACTGGATCCTTCTCTATGCTCACACTGACTTGCCTGGCTAGCTCCCGGTTGAGAGCTGCCAGGGCTGCTGGTTTTAGGGGTGGGGTCTGCCTGGGCCTGATCTGGGCCTGATTTGTGCCTCTTTACAAAAAAGTCTGCAATATCTCCCTTCCTTTTCATGGTTACCTGTCCCTATACAAAATAAGACAGCCTGATTAGACCTCAATATTGTTTTAGGCTGAATCTTAAACTATTTGTCCCCATTCTTGTGTTTTAACTTACTTAAAAATCAACTACCAGCTTAGCTACTATGCAATTAAACTAGATCATATAGGTTAGTTAGGGCTAAGTAACTTGGCTAATGTTATAATTTAGGGCTTAGTAACTTGGCTAACGTTATAATTTAGACCTTTACAATAATAAACAAGCTTCATAAACATTGAGATAATCAGTTTCATCAGTCTGGTATGAAATTCTTATGAACTGGGTTGATTAAACACTTACTGAAAACCAACAATGCCCCGGTTTCCCCACATTATCCCAATCTACGTAGCTAGCTTCATAACGTTAGCCGACTCGCACTAACTATTGGCGGCAACATCTCTTCTCCTCTAAATGTGCAGTCACTGGCAATTTGCCAGTAGTTTAAAATAATGATTCATTTGGAAACCACCTTAAAACTTACCTCAGAATGATGTCTTCCATCAACTGGGGTGGCACACCGCCGCTTGTGTCCTTTCTTCATCCGTTGTTTGGTCTGCTGCCGTTATCGTAGTCAAGTGGCACCGGCACCTGAGTTTTTTTTTTTTTTTTTTTTCACTGGCACCTGAGGTATTAGCGATATTTTCCTCGGCATGACCCGCCCTACTCTGCCTCTGATTGGCTCATCAGTCCTCATGCCTAAAGTTAACCAATCTAATCAGTGAAAGCAGCGAGTACCAGCCAATTAGAGGCAGAGGAGGGTGGGTCATGGCTTCACTATCCCCGAGGAAGAAAATAGGCAATCTGACTCACAGATATTACTGAATGATGCGCATCAGGGGGGATTTAGAAGTGGGTATACGCAATGCTGACTGAAAAATAAGTAGGTATACGCCGTATACCAGCGTATACCCTGGACTACACCTCTGCTGTCAAGCCCATCTCACGGCATGCAGCTGACTGCAGTGCCGAATCGACAGGAAGGAGCAAAGTGTTATAAACTCAGTGTTTAGCCTAGGGCTCCAGAAAGGCTATTCCACTGATATTAGCTACTACCTTGTCCGCAATTCAATCCGTGACATCTAATCATTGTTTTTCTTTATTTGTATTTGTCCTATTTTACCACCTCGGCATCCGTAGGCTACATGTACTGCTCCCATCCTTTGACACCCACGATGCGATTTCCAGATGGCACTGTGGATGATGCGACGACATCATCATGATGAATCACGTTCACCATTCGTCAAGATCTAGTGAACTAAAGTCAAATAAATTAAGTCATAAATAACGACATGACACGCAAGCTGTCAATTGTGGGTCTCTCTGCGCTCAGCTCCGCGCAGCAGTTTGCGGTAAACTCCGCGCAACAGCCAGAACCGAGCCGGAGGATCCTAACACGATGCAGCACATTGCAGACCGTCTACAACCGAACCAACAGCAGTATCAGCCCAAATATTACAACAGTGTAATCGCTTAGCAATGCACTTACGGTTCGTAAGAACTGGATTTCATCTTCTCCGGCTTCTCCCCCGTCAGCCATAGTTGCTGTCCGCGACAGAGACCCGACAGAGTATCCGTGTGGAGGCGACAGCAGGCAGGCAGCTCCAGGGATGCTGCTGCCTGTAGCGGTGTTATAACCCCAATGTGTACTGCCTCGATCTCATTGGACGGTTTACATATTCAAAAAGGGAGGAGTTGTGCAGGTGTGTGTGAGCGGAGACTTGAAGATGATCACTGTGCCCCCTCTTCCGGTATCATTGGAAAACAGACGGTGCAGCAATATGAACGGGTGAAGGAAGATGCACTACTACTTCCCACGGGGGGGACAGTATGAAAATGTATGCGCTCACTAACTGTAAGTCGCTCTGGATAAGAGCGTCTGCTAAATGACTCAAATGTAAAAAATTTACTGTTATTGAAGAACGGCGCAGTACACCGAAGGTGGTAGGGGATTCTGGTTGATAGAATCAGTTTGGAGTCATTCAAATTCGTTAAGATATGATTAGCTTGAGGTATGTCAGGAATGTTGCTGTTAGTTTTATCATGGGAGGCATATCGATCAAAAAACCGACTAATCAATCAATATTTCAATACAAGGCCAGCCAATATAGTATATAAACTGGAAAGAGTACTGTAGCTAGTGTTGTTTTGGAATCGTATAATACAGCAGGCAGTAATAGCCAGACATCAAGAGAGAGCGACATACAGAGCAAATTAGTTTTAAACTAAATAATTCATATGGTACCAGATAAAACATTGTAATCTCAGAATTGTGAACATTCATAAAGTTTGACCAAAAAAAATCACTATTTATTTTCAGAAATAGTGGACACTTTCAGGGTAGATCAATAACATCAGTCATAGTAGTTGGCACGTTTCTTTAAGACAAATTGTGAAACAATCAGAATCAATCAAATCCGTAATTTACAATAACCATTCAAAAAGACATAGCGGTTTAGAAGTTAGTATGGCCAATAACCGCTCATAAAAAACTTGTACCTTAGAGGTTTATAAGTTAATATGGCATGTTAAGTAAGTGTACATTTTGTGATGAAGACCATGTTACTAATTATATTTTGTAAACAAGTTGTATCTAATTAGCGTAAATACAATCTCAAATAAAACAGCTGAGGTCTTCTAGAACCTAATATGTCCCCAATGATAAAATCAAATACTGAAATTATCAGTTTTCAAATGTATCTTAATTATTAAAATCTAAGATTGTGATAGCCAGAAAAAAGAATAAATTACTTTGTCTACAGCTGTCATATTAAAACCCTGTAAAATGTTACACCATACAACCAGCTCCAATTCTTAACTGACCATTTGAACACACCTTAAAAAAAGAAATGTTTTTTTTCCCCCAAGTTTAGTCTTGATTCACGTGAAGTGTACATTTTTTGTCTAGAAGGGATGCAGCTTTTTTCAGAATTGACTTTTCGTAGCAGGTTTAGAAGAATGAATGTAGCAGGTTAGGATAATTGGGTTAAGGTTAGGAAAAGAGTTAACATAAATTCTAACTTTTTACATCAATTTAACAAAAGCTGTATCCCATCTAGACGTGACCATTGAGTAGCGCCTCTGTTTTCTAGGTAGTGGTTGTGGGTGCAGAAGTGTCGAAGCCCAGGATTGGTTGAAGTATCACTGTCAGTCAGTGTCGTAGCCCAGGATTGGTTGAAGTATCACTGTCAGTCAGTGTCGTAGCCCAGGATTGGCCCCAGCCAGCGTTCCACCTCTGACACTGGCATCTCTTTCCTCCCAGCATAGTCCTCCACCTGTGGTAACATGACATACCACACATTAACATGCCATACCACACATTAACATGGCATACCACACATTACCATGACATACCACACATTACCATGACATACCACACATTACCATGACATACCACACATTAACATGGCATACCACACATTAACGTGACATACCACACATTAACGTGACATACCACACATTAACGTGACATACCACACATTAACGTGACATACCACACATTAACGTGACATACCACACATTAACGTGACATACCACACATTAACGTGACATACCACACATTAACGTGACATACCACACATTAACGTGACATACCACACATTAACGTGACATACCACACATTAACAAGACATACCACACATTAACGTGACATACCACACATTAACAAGACATACCACACATTAACATGACATACCACACATTAACGTGACATACCACACATTAACATGACATACCACACATTAACGTGACATACCACACATTAACAACATGAACATAACATCAAGACATGACATACCACACATTAACAACATTAACATAACGTCAAGACATGACATACCACACATTAACAACATTAACATAATGTCAGGACATGACATACCACACATTAACATAATGTCAAGACATAACATACCACACATTAACATAATGTCAAGACATAACATACCACACATTAACATAATGTCAAGACATAACATACCACACATTAACAACATTAACATAATGTCAAGACATGACATACCACACATTAACATAATGTCAAGACATAACATACCACACATTAACAACATTAACATAATGTCAAGACATGACATACCACACATTAACAACATTAACATAATGTCAAAACATGACATACCACACATTAACAACATTAACATAATGTCAAGACATGACATACCACACATTAACAACATTAACATAATGTCAAGACATGACATACCACACATTAACAACATTAACATCATGTCAAGACATAACATACCACACATTAACATCATGTCAAGACATGACATACCACACATTAACAACATTAACAATGTCAAGACATACCACACATTAACAACATTAACATAATGTCAAGACATGACATACCACACATTAACAACATTAACATAATGTCAAAACATGACATACCACACATTAACAACATTAACATAATGTCAAGACATGACATACCACACATTAACAACATTAACATAATGTCAAGACATGACATACCACACATTAACAACATTAACATCATGTCAAGACATAACATACCACACATTAACATCATGTCAAGACATGACATACCACACATTAACAACATTAACAATGTCAAGACATACCACACATTAACAACATCAACATAATGTCAAGACATGACATACCACACATTAACAACATCAACATAATGTCAAGACATGACATACCACACATTAACAACATTAACATCATGTCAAGACATAACATACCACACATTAACATAATGTCAAGACATAACATACCACACATTAACATAATGTCAAGACATGACATACCACACATTAACAACATTAACATAATGTCAAGACATGACATACCACACATTAACATCATGTCAAGACATGACATACCACACATTAACAACATTAACATCATGTCAAGACATGACATACCACACATTAACAACATTAACAATGTCAAGACATACCACACATTAACAACATCAACATAATGTCAAGACATGACATACCACACATTAACAACATCAACATAATGTCAAGACATGACATACCACACATTAACAACATCAACATAATGTCAAGACATGACATACCACACATTAACAACATTAACATAATGTCAAGACATGACATACCACACATTAACAACATTAACATAATGTCAAGACATGACATACCACACATTAACAACATTAACATAATGTCAAGACATGACATACCACACATTAACAACATTAACATAATGTCAAGACATGACATACCACACATTAACAACATTAACATCATGTCAAGACATAACATACCACACATTAACATCATGTCAAGACATGACATACCACACATTAACAACATTAACAATGTCAAGACATACCACACATTAACAACATCAACATAATGTCAAGACATGACATACCACACATTAACAACATTAACATAATGTCAAGACATGACATACCACACATTAACATAATGTCAAGACATAACATACCACACATTAACAACATTAACATAATGTCAAGACATGACATACCACACATTAACAACATTAACATAATGTCAAAACATGACATACCACACATTAACAACATTAACATAATGTCAAGACATGACATACCACACATTAACAACATTAACATAATGTCAAGACATGACATACCACACATTAACAACATTAACATCATGTCAAGACATAACATACCACACATTAACATCATGTCAAGACATGACATACCACACATTAACAACATTAACAATGTCAAGACATACCACACATTAACAACATTAACATAATGTCAAGACATGACATACCACACATTAACAACATTAACATAATGTCAAAACATGACATACCACACATTAACAACATTAACATAATGTCAAGACATGACATACCACACATTAACAACATTAACATAATGTCAAGACATGACATACCACACATTAACAACATTAACATCATGTCAAGACATAACATACCACACATTAACATCATGTCAAGACATGACATACCACACATTAACAACATTAACAATGTCAAGACATACCACACATTAACAACATCAACATAATGTCAAGACATGACATACCACACATTAACAACATCAACATAATGTCAAGACATGACATACCACACATTAACAACATTAACATCATGTCAAGACATAACATACCACACATTAACATAATGTCAAGACATAACATACCACACATTAACATAATGTCAAGACATGACATACCACACATTAACAACATTAACATAATGTCAAGACATGACATACCACACATTAACATCATGTCAAGACATGACATACCACACATTAACAACATTAACATCATGTCAAGACATGACATACCACACATTAACAACATTAACAATGTCAAGACATACCACACATTAACAACATCAACATAATGTCAAGACATGACATACCACACATTAACAACATCAACATAATGTCAAGACATGACATACCACACATTAACAACATCAACATAATGTCAAGACATGACATACCACACATTAACAACATTAACATAATGTCAAGACATGACATACCACACATTAACAACATTAACATAATGTCAAGACATGACATACCACACATTAACAACATTAACATCATGTCAAGACATGACATACCACACATTAACAACATTAACAATGTCAAGACATGACATACCACACATTAACAACATGAACGTAATGTCAAGACATGACATACCACACATTAACAACATGAACGTAATGTCAAGACATGACATACCACACATGAACATAATGTCAAGACATGACATACCACACATTAACAACATTAACATAATGTCAAGACATACCACACATGAACATAATGTCAGGACATGACATACCACACATTAACAACATGAACGTAATGTCAGGACATACCACACATTAACAACATTAGCATAATGTCAGGACATCCCTAGTATGTGATGAGACTAGTGCAGACCTGCCAACCTTGAATCATTTTCATGAGTCCCACTTTAGCGCGGCGGAGGCATCCCCGACCCTCACGACGGCGCGTAGCGACACCCACACGGCTCAAATCATAGACAAATGAACCTTTTCTAGCCTGATAATGATGTTGGCAGAAGACTGCCTCAGTACGAAGGGTAGGCAATAGACTGATCGGTTCATGGTAACTGGCTGCTCTTCACTAGCTAACTAGAAATACATTTAAAATGTACCAATCAGGGCTCTCCCTTGGATTTTCTGACAAGGCGGTGCTGATGTAGGGCGGCAGGTAGCTTAGTGGGTAAGAGCGTTGTGCCAGTAACCGAAAGGTCGCTGGTTCTAATCCCCGAGCCGACTAGGTGAAAAATCTGTCGATGTGCCCTTGAGCAAGGCACTTAACCCTAATTGCTCATGTAAGTCGCTCTGGATAAGAGCGTCTGCTAAATGACTAAAATGTAAATGTAAATGTAGGTCTCTGGTTGGGTAGGGGGGAGGTCCGGACGGGGACAGCCAACTTCCCCCTCAGTAAATTGGAGCATTTAGCATTTTTTTAAAAACCTGTAACTGCCATTTCCTGAAACCTAGAGTCTTAAATGATAATCAAACAACGTAGCCAACACAGCAGTCTGGCGTTTGATCTCAACTACTGAATGCAACGTATTAGTGTAGCTTACTGGAGGCTATTTGGAAGATGAAACAACTGAACTAGGGGCTATATGAGCACGTTTCAGATCTCCATCCCTGACCTCATCCATCAGGTCTCCATCCCTGACCTCATCCATCAGGTCTCCATCCCTGACCTCATCCATCAGGTCTCCATCCCTGACCTCATCCATCAGGTCTCCATCCCTGACCTCATCCATCAGGTCTCCATCCCTGACCTCATCCATCAGGTCTCCATCCCTGACCTCATCCATCAGATCTCCACCCCTGACCTCATCCATCAGGTCGGACTACTACGGCTACCATTCATCGGTGAACTGACTATTACCACATCATTAGCAGTAGGCTTGGGCAGTATACCGTATACCCGGGGGACTTGGAAATAGCCACGGGATGGTTTTTCCAATACAGTCAATAGCGTTGAAACTATTTATTTGAAGTTTTTAAAAAAATACATTTTAAATATTTGTAGCTACTTTTTTAAGTAAATACCTGCAGTCAACTTGTGCAATACATTAGGAGATAAAGAACAGTGCGTTCTTCATTTCACCAGTCACACTATTATGAAGCTTACGGTAATCCCCAGTCACACTATTATGAAGCTTACGGTAATCCCCCAGTCACACTATTATGAAGCTTACGGTAATCCCCAGTCACACTATTATGAAGCTTACGGTAATCCCCAGTCACACTATTATGAAGTTTACGGTAATCCCCAGTCACACTATTATGAAGTTTACGGTAATCCCCAGTCACACTATTATGAAGCTTACGGTAATCCCCAGTCACATGGTGTTTGTTTACAAGCACACAACGAGGAGATACCTGAGCCTTGGGAGTCACTCCCTGTTGTGCAGCATGGGCCAGGTGATCTAATCACAGGATGGAATTCACAACTAAATGTTTGCCAGCTAGATATCTTATAACTATTAAGTTAACTGTCTACAATGTGCTAAATGCTCTGCAGTTGTATATTCGGTTTGCTAATTTAGTGGCAAGTTAGTTATCTAGCTAAGTGGTTAGCTTCTTCCAAAATCAAGCATTCGCTTGGTAAACAGCAGAGAATCCCCTCCTGGATCAACAGCCTTGCTGGCTAATATTTGTTTTGTGCGTGCAGCAAACTGTGAGTAGCATTTTTCAGTTACTTGTATAGTTTAGGTCAGAAACTGTCCAAAATGTTCGCAATGCGCTCGTTAGCATTTAGTTAGCATTCTCTATGAGATTTTACATGTACTTGTTAGTATTGCTAACCTTCGGATTACAGTGTCAGTAGGGTTTGAAAACAGCGGCCCTTGTGGTCAGTGCCGGTATTACCGAATATCCCGGGATTGGTAGAAGGTCGGTATGAAGGTATGACAATCTGGATACCGTCCAAACTTAAATTAGCAGCCTACTGTTGATATACAGTTATATCAAGAGGACAGATCCAGAACTGATTCGTTAACATAGGCCTGCTAACCTTTAACAGTCTAACGTAACTTTCTGTGAAGGACGGTATTAGCAGAACACCCCGCTCTCTCCGCCATGTCTGTTTTCCGCACAGCGACGCTGGAGATTTGTCCTCCGATTGGCTCAGCTCCAACTTCCCGACGGTTGAGTCAAAAACCACAATGCGTATTTTAGGGTAGTTTTTCATACCGGCGTACTACAAGCTCAAAATGCGTGCAGGTTTGCAGGTCTGCTAGTGATCTGATTTGATTTAGTGAGGCCCTCTTTTAGTGTTAGATCCCACCGCTGACACCAAATCTTTAAAAAAGGTAGTGTGGTGAGGTGGCCCCAAGGGGGCGCCACATAGGGTATTTAATCAGTTACATTAACCCCAATTTAATCTCATCTGAGCCTGTATCAGTACCTGTTCTTTGGTGATCTTTCCCACTGCGAAGTAGGTCGATTTGGGGTTAGAGAAGTACAGCCCAGAGACAGCAGCCGCTGGGGTCATGGCCAGAGACTCAGTCAACTTGATACCTGGAAAAACATCAGACGACATATTCATCAAAACCTCATTTACAGACTTCCTCAAGCGGCTGGATTGGGGTAGCTATCAATAATAATAATAATAATAATAATAATAATAATAATAATAATAATAATAATATGCCATTTAGCAGATGCTTTTATCCAAAGCGACTTACAGTCATGCGTGCATACATTTTTGTGTATGGGTGGTCCCGGGGATCGAACCCACTACCTTGGCGTTACAAGCGCCGTGCTCTACCAGCTGAGCTACAGAGGACCAGGGTCATCAGTCATAAAAGACTACCAACACAGAAAGAAGTCTACGATGCAGAAACTACTCTACGGCCCCATCTCTATTAGGCCTTCATCTGCCCTGATAGGAAATGACAGGATCGGTGGAATCAATATGGTGGGCGCTCATCATTAGGCTGCCTTTCACCAAGGGCCAGTTGTTTCCAAATCAGTGCAGATGGAAGGAGAGCCTACCTGTCCTCTCCTCCACCTGGCCCAGTGTCCACATGGCGCTCTTCTCCGTGTGGTCGGGTTGGGAGGGGTATCCTGCGGCTGGCCTGATGCCCTCGTAACGGATCCTGTGCATGTCCTGGGTCTGGAGGTCCTCCTCCACGCTATAGCCCCACAGCTCCCTACGCACCCTGGCATGGAGCTCCTCAGCAAACGCCTGGTGGAGGGGAGACACGGACCTTTTAGCTTCTCATGGACTCTAATGGCACTGTTCAGCTGGCCTATTAGTGGCTTCCTATTGGGCTGTAGTTATCAGTCTGTCGTGTCTGGCTTCCTATTGGGCTGTAGTTATCAGTCTGTCGTGTCTGGCTTCCTATTGGGCTGTAGTTATCAGTCTGTCGTGTCTGGCTTCCTATTGGGCTGTAGTTATCAGTCTGTCGTGTCTGGCTTCCTATTGGGCTGTAGTTATCAGTCTGTCGTGTATGGCTTCCTATTGGGCTGTAGTTATCAGTCTGTCGTGTCTGGCTTCCTATTGGGCTGTAGTTATCAGTCTGTCGTGTCTGGCTTCCTATTGGGCTGTAGTTATCAGTCTGTCGTGTATGGCTTCCCATTGGGCTGTAGTTATCAGTCTGTCGTGTCTGGCTTCCTATTGGGCTGTAGTTATCAGTCTGTCGTGTCTGGCTTCCTATTGGGCTGTAGTTATCAGTCTGTCGTGTCTGGCTTCCTATTGGGCTGTAGTTATCAGTCTGTCGTGTCTGGCTTCCTATTGGGCTGTAGTTATCAGTCTGTCGTGTCTGGCTTCCTATTGGACTGTAGTTATCAGTCTGTCGTGTCTGGCTTCCTATTGGGCTGTAGTTATCAGTCTGTCGTGTCTGGCTTCCTATTGGGCTGTAGTTATCAGTCTGTCGTGTCTGGCTTCCTATTGGACTGTAGTTATCAGTCTGTCGTGTCTGGCTTCCTATTGGGCTGTAGTTATCAGTCTGTCATGTATGGCTTCCCATTGGGCTGTAGTTATCAGTCTGTCGTGTCTGGCTTCCCATTGGGCTGTAGTTATCAGTCTGTCATGTATGGCTTCCTATTGGGCTGTAGTTATCAGTCTGTCATGTATGGCTTCCTATTGGGCTGTAGTTATCAGTCTGTCGTGTCTGGCTTCCTATTGGGCTGTAGTTATCAGTCTGTCATGTATGGCTTCCTATTGGGCTGTAGTTATCAGTCTGTCATGTATGGCTTCCCATTGGACTGTAGTTATCAGTCTGTCATGTTTTGCTTCCTATTGGGCTGTAGTTATCAGTCTGTCGTGTATGGCTTCCTATTGGGCTGTAGTTATCAGTCTGTCATGTATGGCTTCCCATTGGGCTGTAGTTATCAGTCTGTCATGTATGGCTTCCCATTGGGCTGTAGTTATCAGTCTGTCGTGTCTGGCTTCCTATTGGGCTGTAGTTATCAGTCTGTCGTGTATGGCTTCCTATTGGGCTGTAGTTATCAGTCTGTCATGTATGGCTTCCTATTGGGCTGTAGTTATCAGTCTGTCGTGTCTGGCTTCCTATTGGGCTGTAGTTATCAGTCTGTCGTGTATGGCTTCCCATTGGACTGTAGTTATCAGTCTGTCGTGTATGGCTTCCTATTGGGCTGTAGTTATCAGTCTGTCATGTATGGCTTCCCATTGGGCTGTAGTTATCAGTCTGTCGTGTATGGCTTCCTATTGGGCTGTAGTTATCAGTCTGTCGTGTCTGGCTTCCCATTGGGCTGTAGTTATCAGTCTGTCGTGTATGGCTTCCTATTGGGCTGTAGTTATCAGTCTGTCGTGTCTGGCTTCCTATTGGGCTGTAGTTATCAGTCTGTCATGTATGGCTTCCTATTGGGCTGTAGTTATCAGTCTGTCGTGTCTGGCTTCCTATTGGGCTGTAGTTATCAGTCTGTCGTGTATGGCTTCCTATTGGGCTGTAGTTATCAGTCTGTCATGTATGGCTTCCTATTGGGCTGTAGTTATCAGTCTGTCGTGTCTGGCTTCCCATTGGACTGTAGTTATCAGTCTGTCGTGTATGTATGCAACTATGACAGCATTGTGTTTTATTGGTGCCCAGTCTATACCTCCGCTATACCGGCGCTGTCACTAAATGTAAAAAGCTACTTCTCCCCTTAGAGACACCGTGTGGTCATACCTCAGCCGTAGTGCCTTCAGAAAGTATTCAGACCCCTTTGACTTATTCCACTTTGTTGTTACAGCCCCAATTAAACACGGATTACATTTATTTTGTCTCACCCATTGACACACAATACCGCATAATGACAAAGTGAGAACTATTTGTTTGAAATTGTTGCAAATGTATTACAAATGAAATACTGAAATATCTCATTTACATAAGTATTCACACCCCTGAGTCAATATTTTGTAGAATCACCTTCGGCAGCGATTACAGCTGTGAGTGTTTCTGGGTAAGTGTCTAAGAGCTTCCCACACCTGGATTGTACAATATCTGCCCATTTATTCTTTTCTAAATTATTCGAGCTCTGCCAAGTTGGTTGTTGATCATTGCTAGACAACCAATTTTCAAGTCTTGCCATACATTTTCAAGCAGACTTAAGTCAAAACTGTAACTCGGCCACTTAGGAACATTCACTGTCTTCTTGGTAAGCAACTCCAGTGTATATTTGGCCTTGTGTTTTAGGTTATTGTCCTGCTGAAAGGTGAATTCATCTCCCAGTGTCTGGTGGAAAGCAGACTGAACCAGGTTTTCCTCTAGGATATTGCCTGTGCTTAGCTCCATTCCATTTATTTTTTATCCTGAAAAACTCCCCAGTCCTTAACGATTACAAGCATACCCATAACATGATGCTGCCATCACTATGCTTGAAAATTTGAAGAGTGGTACTCAGTAATGTGTTGTATTGGATTTTCCCCAAACATAACGCTTTGTATTCAGGACAGAAAGTGAATTGCTTTGCCACATTTTTTACAGTATTACATTTGTGCCTTGTTGCAAACAGGATGCATGTTTTGGAATATTTGTATTCTGTACAGGCTTCCTTCTTTTCACTCTGTCATTTAGGTTAGTATTGTGGTGGCAGGTAGCTTAGTGTAAGAGCGTTGTGCCAGCGTTGTGCCAGTAACCGAAAGGTCGCTGGTTCTAATCCCCGAGCCGACTAGGTGAAAAATCTGTCGATGTGCCCTTAAGCAAGGCACTTAACCCTAATTGCTCCTGTAAGTCGCTCTGGATAAGAGCGTCTGCTAAATGACTAAAATGTAAAAATGTAAATGGTGTAACTACAATGTTGTTGATCCATCCTCAGTTTCTCCTATCACAGCCATTCAACTCCACATATTTTCTATGGGATTAAGGTCTGGAGACTGGCTAGGCCACTCCAGAACCTTAATGTGCTTCTTCTTGACCCACTCCTTTGTTGCCTTGGCCGTGTGTTTTGGGTCATTGTCATGCTGGAATACCCATCCACGACCCATTTTCAATGCCCTGGCTGAGGGAAGGAGGTTCTCACCCAAGATTTGACGGTACATGGCCCCGTCCATCATCCCTTTGATGCGGTGAAGTTGTCCTGTCCCCTTAGCAGAAAAACACCCCCAAAGCATAATGTTTCCACCTCTATGTTTGACGGTGGGGATGGTGTTCTTGGGGTCATAGGCTGCATTCCTCCTCCTCCAAACACGGCGAGTTGAGTTGATGCCAAAGAGCTCCATTTAAGTCTCATCTGACCACAACACTTTCACCCAGTTCTCCTCTGAATCATTCAGATGTTCATTGGCAAACTTCAGACGGGCCTGTATATGTGCTTTCTTGAGCAGGGGGACCTTGAGGGTGCTGCAGGATTTCAGTCCTTCACGGCATAGTGTGTTACTAATTGTTTTCTTGGTGACTATGGTCCCAGCTGCCTTGAGATCATTGACAAGATCCTCACGTGTAGTTCTGGGCTGATTCCTCACCGTTCTCATGATCATTGCAACTCCACGAGGTGAGATCTTGCATGGAGCCCCAGGCCGAGGGAGATTGACAGTTCTGTTGTGTTTCTTCCATTTGCGAATAATCGCACCAACTGTTGTCACCTTCTCACCAAGCTGCTTGGCGATGGTCTTGTAGCCCATTCCAGCCTTGTGTAGGTCTACAATCTTGTCCCTGACATCCTTGGAGAGCTCTTTGGTCTTGGCCATAGTGGAGAGTTTGGAATCTGATTGATTGATTGCTTCTGTGGACAGGTGTCTTTTATACAGGTAACAAACTGAGATTAGGAGCACTCCCTTTAAGAGTGTGCTCTTAATCTCAGCTCGTTACCTGTATAAAAGACACCTGGGAGCCAGAAATCTTTCTGATTGAGAGGGGGTCAAATACTTATTTCCCTCATTAAAATGCAAATCAATTTATAACATTTTTGACATGCGTTTTTCTGGATTTTTTTGTTGTTATTCTGTCTCTCACTGTTCAAATAAACCTACCATTAAAATGATAGACTGATCATTTCTTTGTCAGTGGGCAAACGTACAAAATCAGCAGGGGATCAAATACTTTTTTCCCCTCACTGTAGGTGCCCTTTGTGAGGCATTGGAAAACCTCCCTGGTCTTTGTGGTTTAATCTGTGTTTGAAATTCACTGCTCGACTAAGGGAAAGATAATTGTATGTGTGGGGTACAGAGATGAGGTAATTATTTAAAAAATCATGTTAAACACTATTATTGCACACAGAGTGAGTCCATGCAACTTATTATGTGGACTTGTTAAGCACATTGTTTCGTAGGTAATGGTGCAATGCTTAACCATCTGAAGGTGGACGCAACGTGAGACCCAAACCTCTTGCTGGCAGCAGCTGCATTGTGAATTCACCTGGAATTTTATGCATTTTTAACGGTAAATCAATTTATTTATTTTTTAAACGTTAAGAACATTTTTTTCCCCATTTGTCAGTATAGTGACAGAGTCCATACCTCAGCCAGACGGTCAGCCAAAGCCTCCATTTGTCAGTATAGTGACAGAGTCCATACCTCAGCCAGACGGTCAGCCAAAGCCTTGACAGTCCATACCTCAGCCAGACGGTCAGCCAAAGCCTTGACAGTCCATACCTCAGCCAGACGGTCAGCCAAAGCCTTGACAGTCCATACCTCAGCCAGACGGTCAGCCAAAGCCTTGACAG